TTCTTTCCTTTCCCCTACCCCTCCCACTTCCCCTACTCCTTTAGACCTTTTCTTCCTATTACACCATATCATTTATACATTGTTTTAATTACAATATCAAAATTTAGAGGTCATTACCACAGATTTTACAGAATTTAAAAGTTTATAGAGAGCATATTACAAAAATCTGTTTTGAAATAAATTTGACAACTTCTAAGTTATAAGATACCTTCTAGGATACCTTGGAAGACAAATTAATGAAACTGACTCTGAGGGAAATATAAAATTGGAATACCACCTATTAAAGAAAGTATATTCCTAGCTTGAAAACCTACCTATATAACAACAATAGGCTCTTATACATTTTAACTGATGAATTATATCAAACATTTGACTGAAATTTTTAATTCATGTAATTAAATTGGTAAATAAATTGATCTTGATAAAATAAGAGTAATCTTTGTGACATTGAGTGTGTGTGTGTGTGTGTGTGTGCATGCACATGTGTGTGTATAGGATTTCTTTTTTTTTTGGTACTGGGGATCGAGGACTGGGGATTTAGCTCAATGGTTCTGCTGCCTGCCCTGCAAGCGCAAGGTCCCGAGTTCAATCCCCAGTACCAAAAAAAAAACCAAAGCAGGTACTGGGGATCGAACTCGAGACCTTGTTGTTACGAGGCAGATGGCTGAACCACTGAGCCAAATTCCCAGCCCTGTGTTTAGGAATTTATATGTCTTGTTGTCTACATATTGGTGACACAGAGATTTGCCATATACCCTACCAAGTAAGCTTCAGTGGTAATAATTTTCCAATTGTAGAGTGACCCTGAAATTCTATTGCTGTTATGCAAAATCCAGCTCTTTAAAAAAAGAAACTAAGAGGGCCGGGGATTTAGCTTAGTGGTTTCGTCTCCTGCTGCGCAGGTGCAAGGACCCGAGTTCAATTCCTGGTACCAAAAAAAAAAAAAAGAAACTAAGAATCCAAACTCTAAACTGGAACATTGAATCTGAAAAGACTGTAAATAGGAGGGCTGGGTATGTAACTCAGTAGTAGATCCCTTGCCTAGCATGTCCAAAGCCCTGGGTTCAATCCCCAGTAAGCCCCCCCCCCCCACCAAAAGGATTGTAAACAGGGTTCCCAGCTATACATAAATAATTAACATACAGCAAAATGTAGCTGTATGTTTCTGTTTTCTGAAAAATTAGACCTTATAGGCTAATTGTTTTAATTATATTCTTGGATATAATTTGTAGTCAACCTAAGAAATTAATTTTCTCTTGGAAGATCTTTTTATGTTTATTTATGTTCATTTAAAGCAATGATTCTCAGTATAGAGGAAGGGACATAGCAAGAGTCTTGGTGGGAAATCTCTGGCAGAAGATTTTGAAAAAGATAATCAGGTGATTATGTATGTGCCTATTATCTCTTCCCACAGTGTGCATACAGATATATACTATGAAGTACTAATTTATATGCTTATTTTTATGTATTTGGATATTTCATAAACTAAAACTGAAGAATTAATCTCTCTTGAATAACAAGAGAAATAAGATAAGGTGTAGTAGTCTGAAGAATTTTTTTTGTACTTGGGAAATACAGCTGATTTATATGTGGTGCAATGGTGATGCTCTGTAGTTTGAAAATATACCTTATTAGTTAGCATACTACAGTTTGACTAATTGAATATATTGTCACTTTTTCATCTTGCTCAGTATGAATGGATTTTCATTGAAACCATTTGTGAGATGATATTTAAAATGAAGAAAAGCATTGGGTTTTTTATTTTTTGTTTTGGTACCGGGGATTGAACTTGGGTCCTTGCGCTTGCGGGGAAGTTGTCGGAACCACTGAGCTAAATCTCCAGCCCAGTAAAGCATTGTTTTTGATTTGTTCAGTGGTTATTTATGCTGAAAATTAAATACCATTTATAAAGTAGGTTTCTATTCTCCCCTGGTTTTGATTTCCCATTTATTTATTTATTTATTTTTTGGTACCAGGGATTGAACTCTGGACCTTGCTCTTGCAAGGCAGGCAGCAGAACCACTGAGCTAAATCCCTGGCCCTCCCATTTAATTTACAGTTCTTTAACATTGAATTCATCCATAATTTTGCCAAAAGCTTATCATCAAGAATGTTAAAATTCCTGGGGATTTAGCTCAGTGGTTCCACCGCCTGCCTCGCAAGCGCAAGGTCCCAAGTTTGATCCCCAGTACCAAAAAAATGAAAGAAAGAATGTGAAAATCTAAGAATTGAGATGACGCTAAATTGTATATTAGCCTTAATTTTAACTCACAAATAATTTTTACTGGAAAACACTGCCTCCTGTTTCTTCTTGGAAAAGTTTTAAGGGAGGATGTGTTTTCTTTAGTACCCAGTCATTGTATGCTTTGAAGCTAGGAACCTGAAATATAGCTGTGCAAAATTAAAAGATATGCATGTTTTCTGACAGATGTATATGTCACTTTTCCCCATACTACTTGATGAGTGACTCGATAAAGAGGAAAGTTGGGAATAATGTGGCATATCCCTGTAATCCCAACACTGGGAGGCTGAGGCAGGATTGCACATTCGAGTCCAGCCTGGGTAACTTAACAAGACCCTGTCTCAAAATAAAATATGAACAAAGGGGCTGGCAGTACAGCTCAGTGCAAAGGTCCTGAGTTCAATTCCCTGTGCAGGGAAAAAAGAAAAGAAAATATTACCTATTTTCTCCAAATTGTAAACCTGCTTAAAGCCAGGCATGGTGGCACACACCTGTAATCCAAGTACTCAGGAGGCTGAGGCAAGAGAATAACCACAAGTTTAAGGCCAGCCTGAGCTACATAGTCAATTCAAGCTCAGCCTGAACTGCACAGTGAGACACTGTCTCGAAAAAACAAAACAAAACAAAACAAAAACCTGCTTGAGCATTAGAGCGAAAAACACATCTACTTTTTTTTTTTTGAAACCTCACTATGTAGTTCAAGCTGGCCTTGAACTTAACTGTGTAGCTCAGGCTGGCCTCAAATTTGCAGTGATCCTCCTGCCTCAGCCTCCCATGTGCTGGGATTCCAAGCGTGCGCCACCACCCCCGACTAAAACACATCTAAATTTACCGTTATACCAAATGATACATTTATTTAGTTAATTTTTATGTATTTTGATCTGAGATGTGTTTTATGTTGCCAGGAACTGAATGAAAACCAGAGCACCCCTAAAAAAGAAAAGCAAGAATGGCTTTCAAAGCAGAAAGAGAATATACAGCATTTCCAAGCGGAGGAAGAAGCTAACCTTCTTCGGCGTCAGAGACAATACCTAGAGCTGGAATGCCGTCGCTTCAAGAGAAGAATGTTGCTTGGGCGCCATAACTTGGAGCAAGACCTTGTCAGGGAGGTATGTTTAAATGATGTGAAATTTACCAACAGAATCTTTCCTGAATATATGCCAGTCACTTCCCAGTCTCGGGGATCTTGTACCATATTTCCCTTTGTCTGAGTCACTTTTCCTGAAATATTCACAAGACTTGCTTTCTCCCTTCTTTATGTCTATACTCACATGTCACCTCTCCAGAGATACCTTCCTGACTGCCAGATCTCTCTCTTTCTCCTTCCTTCCCTCCCAGAAAAGAGAATTTGTTGTCCTCACTAGAATTGAAGTTAAGGGCAAGGGATTTAGCTTAGCAGCACCACGCCTGCCTCAAAAGCTACAAAGTCCTGAGTTTGATCCCTGGTACTGAAAAAAAAAAAGAGAATTGAAATTGTATGAAGCCAGACTCTGTTCAGGGGTTTTGTTTTGTTTTGTTTTTCCCTGGTACTGAGGATTGAACCCAGGGTCTTTGCACTGAGCTACATCCTCACAGAGCTACATAGAGGCTCCTGGTAAGTTGCCTATGATGGTCTGGAACATGTGCTCCAACTGCCTCAGTCTCCCAGAGCGCTAGGATTACAGGTATATGCCACCATACCCAATTGTTCACTTCTTTATATTGCCAGTGCATTTGACACATAGGGGGCATTCAACAAAAAATTAATAATAAAAGAAATACCAAATTTTAATATGACAAAATCAGTTGGGCAAACTTTGCCTCTTTGATCTGAAATGAGTGTTATGAGATATATGTTGCCATTTAACACATTTCATAATGATGCTAATTATTAATTGAGCAAATGTTGTAAAAACTCCTTGTCCCAATGAAAATAGTTGTTATTAAGATGATATTTCAGTCTGCCTTGGTGGCACACACTTTTATAATCCCAGCATTCTGGGAGCTGAGGCAGGAGAATCAAGTTTGTGCCCAATTTGGGCAACTCCAGGACTTAGCAAGACCCTGTCTCAAAGTGGGGAAGGGGTTGTGGCTCCACGTAAAGGCCCTAGATTACCCTCTCTTCCCAAGAAAGACAGTACCTGTGAATTTAGATAAATTTATTTACAATAGCTGGTTATAAGCTTCAAATACAGAATAAGTTGGCAAATTCACAAATAATGAAAAAATTTTAAATTAGATTAGATAAGAAAAACTGAAACAATTGATAATATCCAGTCTGTCTTAGTTACTTTTCTCATTGCTGAGACAAAATACCCAACACCCAAAATTAAAGAAGGGAAAATTTATTTCAGCTCATAGTTTATATCGGTTTTTGTCCATAGTCATCTGGCTCTAAGGCCAGGCTGCATGGCAAAGGAGAAACAGTTCATGTTATGGCAGGCAGGAGGCAGCAGAACAGCAGCAGCCAGCCTGCCTTCTCTCTGCCCCTTAATAGTCCATCCAGGCTACAACCTCTTGATTGGTACCACCTATACCCAAGGTGAGGCCATTATCTATCTACACCCTTAATCCCAGTATCACACCCTTAATTCACATTCACATACCCTAATCCAACCACTGACTAACAGACAGTATTGGTAACAGTATACATTGATACGGCCCTTTTGGAGCACAATTTAACAGTAGCTTTTACATATGCTTTTATGTATCAAATCTACTTCTGGAGTTCTGTCCTGCAAAAACAATAACATGGCCGGAGATTTAGCTCAGTGGTGCCGCTGCCTGCTTCGCAAGTGCAAGGTCCAGAGTTCAAACCTTGGTACCAAAAAAATAAATAAAAATAATAAAAACATGATTATATTATGTAGCATACAAAGATATTTACTGAAACTGTAAAAGCAAAAAATGGAAACAGCTTAAGTGTTGATCACATGGAGGGGTTTAAAATGTGGTATCACAGGGCCAGGGATTTAGCTCAGTGGTTCCACTGCCTGCCTCACAAGTGCAAGGACCTGAGTTCGATCCCTGGTAACCAAAAAAAAAAAAATGTGTTATCACAAAGCAGTCATTTTCATTGAAACTTGTAAGTCTTTATGTGCTGATTTGATCTGGATATATATGCATAATATTGTTAAGTGAAAAAAGCAAGTTACATGCCTGTAGTGTGTGTGTGTGTGTGTGTGTATATGTGCATATATATATATATATATATATATATATATATATATATATATATTTTTTTTTGTACCAGGGATTGAACTCGGGTCGTTGTGCTTGCGCAGTAGGTGGCGAAACCACTGAGCTAAATCCCTGGCCCCTGTAGTGTGTATATTAATTAAACTGCCTTTTTAAAATAATGACTATATCACAGCAAATCATGGGAAGGATGAGAAGCATACGCACCACACCGTTGGCCCCTGAGGAAAGGGTTTGTAGGGGGAAAGGGGGCAAGTTTGATTTTGATTGACATAAAATACGAGTATGTAGTTACTCTTTTTAATCCAAGGAAAAAATTACAAAGTAAGAATAACATTAATTGAACAACATGTACTATGTATTCTGAGGACTTTTTATTCAGGAACTTATTTCTTCCTCACATTAAATCCATGAAATAGGGCAGGGAGTGTAGACCAATGCGAGAGTTCACATTTAGCATGTATAAGACTAGGTTCAATCCCTAGTGCTTGCTGGGGGGAAAAGGTCATAGAATATTAATATTTACTATGCAGCCATTAGTGAAGCAGAGGGTTAATTATATTCCTTTCCTGGTTATTCTTTTTCTTAGGGTTTTTTTCTTGGCACTGTACAATGGTAAATTAGCCAGGCTTGGTGGCACACACCTATAATCCCAGCACTCAGGAGGTTGAGGCAGGAGGATCATCATGATTCAAAGCCAGCCTGGGCTATATAGTGAGTTCAAGGCTAGCCTGAACTATATAGTGGACCTATTTTAGAAAACAAATAAACAGGGCCAGGGGATTTAGCTCAGTGGTTACACCGCCTGTCTTGAAAGCACAAGGACCTGGGTTTGATCCCTGGTATTACAAAAAAAAAAAAAATTCTCAAAAACAAACAGATAAAACCAGTACATTTTATACCTTTGTCTTCTGTGTTATGTATTAGGAGTTAAACAAAAGACAAACTCAGAAGGACTTGGAGCATGCAATGCTACTGAGACAGCATGAATCCATGCAAGAATTGGAGTTCCGCCACCTCAACACAATTCAGAAGATGCGCTGTGAGTTGATCAGATTGCAGCATCAAACTGAGCTCACTAATCAGCTGGAATATAATAAACGAAGGGAACGAGAACTAAGGCGAAAACATGTCATGGAAGTTCGACAACAGCCTAAAAGTTTGAAGGTATCTTTAGTGTAAACTCTTGACAAAGGGGAAAAGAGAAAAAGGTATCCACGTAAGCAAGAAAAGTCTAAAACAGATGTCCAATCATTAAAAAATTTAACTTTTTGCACTTTGAGCATCTTTGGTGTATTTCAGTGGTGGAGTGGCTATCACTGTAGACTTGTGCTTATGTATTTCTCATTAAAGTACAAAAAATGGCCTAAATTTAACTATTGGGAACACCAATAAATAAGGAATTGGTGTTGTTATTTAAATGTACCCAGTGTCCATTGCTGCTGTTATATTTTATATGTCAACATGCTAACCTTTTGGCTTGTCTTTATTATTCCCAGTATTAGTTTTAAAATCTTAATTTGCTCTGAGTTGTACAGAATTTAAAAATAGAAAAATAAATGTTTTTCTCACTTCTCTTGTTCCTTTAGCCAGTTGATCTAGTCTCCCTTCACCAAATTTATGAGTTAACAATTACAAGAAATTTTCAAATTTTATACCTTGTAATGAATATTTAAAGATTTAATTGAATCTTAATAAAAGCAGACATAGGTTCTGATCAGTGATAGTACCTCATTTGATCTGTACATATCTGCAAATTCAAAAAAATTTTTTTTTTCTCTTTTGGTTTTTTGTTTGTTTGTTTTTTGTGGGTTTTTTGGTACCGGGGATCGAACTCGGGCCCTTGCACTTGCAAGGCAGGCGGCGAAACCACTGAGCTAAATCCCCGGCCCTCTTTTGGTTTTTTGAGACAGGGTCTTGCTATGCATTTCAGACTGGCCTTGAACTCACTATGTAGCCCAGGCTGGCCTTGAACTTGCAGCAATCCTCCTGCCTCAGCCTTCTGAATGCTGGGATTACGGATGTGCACCACCTTGCCCAGCTAGTATTTGCTATTGAAAGACTCCTTTCCCTTCCCAGTCCTCACCCCTTCCCAATTCCCTTTAAAACTATTTAATATTTAAGCTACAAATACAAAAACTATTCTCATCTTTACCCTAAATAACTGCTGTAATAAAGTGAACGTCATTCACAAAGGTAATCTTTGTCAAACTCTAGAGGCTATAACACACCCAGTGGTATTCTTAGTGTCGCCCCCCCACCGCCCCGCGCGCCCATCTTCAAACAAGCTATCCTGAACAAAATGTAGAATCAGAGTTAAGGTACTTTACTCTTCCCATATGAACCTGAGTAAAATTTTACTTTGTTGTCTTCAAAATAGTGAAGTTCCCAGGCATGTGGCACATGCCTGTAATCCCAGCGCTGTGGGAGGCTGAGGCAGGAGTGTAACAAGTTCAAGCCTAACCTGGGCAATTTAATGAGACCCAGTCTCCAAATTTAAAAAAGGGATGGCGAGCCAGAGATTTAGCTCAGTGGTTCCACCTCTTGCCTTGTAGGCAGAAGGTCCCAAGTTCGATCCCCAGTACCCCCCAAAAAATTAAAAATTAAAAAGGGATGGCGATGAAGCTCAATACACAAGCTCTGGATTCCATCCCTAGTACCACAAAAACAACAAACTCACATCATTTGCAAAGTAGTTATGTTGACTTCCTTACCTGGTTGATGCTTAGAAAACTGATTTATAAAGAACTTAAGATTTCTTCTGTTTGTGCTTTGGAGAAGGATGTATAATTATTTGTCTATAGGCTAATCTCCCAACAAAGATTTTTAAATCTGATGTGACATTTCTCTGGGACTTGGGTGATAAGTGGTTGTTTGACTTTTTAACTCTTTCTGTGTCCTGTTTTTAGTCCTTTTCAGTTTGAAAACTTGTAAACAGTAATCTGGTGTTTTCAGATACTACATAAAAAGTGAGGAAAAAATGATGTTTCACAGATTTAGACTTTTTAAAAAATGCCTCTTTCCGATGACAGTTGAGTTCAAGGTTTTCCTTCAATAGGGAAGAAGAATCACTAATTTTCTTCTTATTTACATTTATCTACTACTTGGTTAATTTGGGGGAAAAATCATTAGATTTTAGCATCAGATCACCCCATTTGTATTTACCTAAGTAATAGTGGCCTCATCCAACCTTCTATAAGACGTTAAATTGAAGAGAAGACTTCAGTTTGTTACCTGTCTATAATTAAGTAGGATTTGTGGGGAAGGGGTGCTGTTTCTGTTGAATGAGTTGGGCAAAAACCAACTCTCCTGTTTCTTCAGGTGCCATCCTTATGATCATTCTCTCAGTATTATATGAGCAGAAATAACTGTTACATTCTTCCTATTTTCACTGGAGTTGAGCTTTGAGGTGTAGGCATTAACGTTAACCCTTGTTGAGAAATTTTCCAAGTTTTTTTGTCTCATTAGGAATTACTCATGGAATGACTACAATTTGCTTGTCACATTAAAAGGTTTTTTAAAGAATAGAAGCTAATATAAAGAAGCAGAAGATAATGTCCGTATTTCATTGTTCCATTTCTCTGGAAGCACTTGGAAGAACTTTGTTAACCAAGAACAGTATTTAAGAGTAGCACTACTTAGCATTGCTAAACCAAGTCATTTCTGGCTAGTCATTTCTTTACCCATCATGTAATAAAGGCATATGACTAAAACCTGCAGCCTCAGTTGGTTAAAAATATGCAGATATTTATATTAATGTAATACTATTGGAGAGGAGGTACGTTTTCCTAGACAAGTGTATACATTTGATCATATATGCATTTGTTTTATGTATAATGAGTCAACCAGTTGATCCAGTATTTATATTAAAGTAAAATAATTTCAACTCTAGATTCTTCCTCTGTGTAGGTGTAGTAAATGAATATATTCTTACTTGTAGGGTCAACAGCTTACAGAGTATATCTTATTTATTTTATAAACCTGAATTCTTAGAAAAATATCTAGCCCAGTGAGTAACCAAAAGACAAAGACTTCTGCCTCTAGACTCAGATTATTTTACTTGAGAAATGTTTAAGTTGTCTGTTACCACCCCAAGAAGAGGGCTGCCCTTTCTATGCTCCATAATTTTGTTCAACCTTTGAAGAATTAGTTAACTTATTTTCAGTTTTGCTTGTTGTATTACAGAGTAGACTGTTATTAAGTATATTTCTACCTAGCTTATTCTCTTAAGGAAAAAATATAATAACTATTAATTAGTTACTAGTACAGACTTCCAAGTGAAGCTCAGATATGACACATACATTACATAGTTGAGGTTAAAATTGCTATTAAAAGAAATTGGAGTAAAGCATTTCAAGTAAAGAACTAAATAAATGTGTTTTATTTTTTGCCTGAGATATCTGATAAACTTTGCCTTCCCAATCAAGTGATTTGTATATACTGCACTTAATTCATGAGAATAAATTTTTTTTTGCCATGAATACACAGAGCAATCAAAATAAATTTTAATATTTATTCAAGTCACTAAATTTACTAGTGAAAAATCAAGTCTGCTTGAACTCTTCTGATAAATTAGAGGTTTTGTTGTAAAACTGCATAGAATCCAATAGTTTGGCTCAATACTCACATGCAAAAATACCTGCAACTTTATCATCTGACCGTTTTGGTTTCCCTCTCCCTTTTTCTTGCATCTCCCCCACACACACATCTACCAGGGATCGAACTCAGGACCTTACACTTGCCAAGAAGGCACAGTGCTGCTGAGCTACATCCCTGGCCTTCCCTTTTTCTTACTAGCCTTAGTTTGTGTATAAGTAAGTATAAGGTATACCAAATACTATATGTTGAATCTTATACACATCTGTGTTTTTTTCCTTCCCAGTCTAAAGAACTCCAAATAAAAAAGCAGTTTCAGGATACCTGCAAAATCCAAACCAGGCAGTACAAAGCATTAAGAAATCACCTACTGGAGACTACACCAAAGAGTGAGCACAAGGCTGTTCTGAAAAGACTCAAGGAGGAGCAGACCCGGAAGTTAGCAATCCTGGCTGAGCAGTATGACCACAGCATTAATGAAATGCTCTCCACACAGGCTGTGAGTTTGCTTTGTTTAAGCAAAACAAGTTTTGTTTCCCTTGCCTTCTTCCACCAGAATAAAATTCCAGCAAGTAAAATATTAATTGAAACCCAGGAGCGATAGCACATACCTGTAACCCTAGCTACTTGGGAGGCTGAGGCAGGAAGATCTTAAATTGGAGGCCAACTTAGGCAATTTAGCAAGACCTTGTCTCAAAATTTTTTAAAAAGTTTGGGGGCTGGGGATGTACCTCAGTTTAGCTCAGTGATGTAGCATGCACAAGGCCTTGGGTTCAATTCTTAGAGCCAATAAATAAATATATACATATAAATATATATATATATGGTGGAAATGATAGCTTGTCTGAAACTAGGGAAATAGAGGTAGTCTGTATTCTTCCTGCTGTCACAATTGCTTGGAAATGTCATGATGCATACAGAATGAGGTTCTGTGTCAGCTCTTTGCAGGAATAGATTGCAGCAATTTATCAACATTAAAACAGGAGCTTTGGTAAACTATGGACAAAAAGTAGTATTATAAGACAGGTATGGTGGCACATGCCTGTAACCTCAGCAGTCTGGGAGGCTGAGGCAGAAGGATTGCCAATTTCAAGCCCAGCCTGGACAATTTAGCAACTTAGTGGAAACCCTGTCTCAAAATTAAAAATAAAAAAGTCTGGGCACATACAGTATCTTAGCACAAAGGTCATAGGTCAATCCCCAGTGCTGGGGTGGGGGGAGTACTATAGAATATTAGGAATTAAATGAATTAAAATTAAAATTACACATTTGAGTGTAAATATGAAATACTTTGTAAACTTTTTCTTTCTTTCTTTTTTTTTTTTTTGGTACCGGGGATCAAACTCGGGTCCTTGTGCTTGCGAGGCAGGCGGCAGAACCACTGAGCTAAATCCCCAGCCCTGTAAACTTTTTCTTAACGGTCCAGATAATGAATATTTTAGGCTTTGCTGACCAGGAGGCAAAATCAAAGATGATACTTGATTATTTATATAATTATTTAAAATGTGACCATTTCAAAATATAAAAAGCATTCTTAACTAGTGGGCTATAACAAAACAAAACAAGTGCCTACCAGGATTTGGTTTATAAGCTGTAGTTTGCTGGTCTCTGACCTATAGTTGTTTCCACTAAGGAAGAAAAAGAGTTTAATATCATCTAAGGTTTATCTTACAAAGAATGTAGTCATTTGGGCATCCTCCAAATAGCTTATTTATGTTAGCTTTATCTTCATAATGCCATCACTAGTTATTGTGTCTTTTATTTTCATAGATGTTTATTCTATGATAAACAAGATACAAGAGAAAACAATTGTATCACCTACAAAACAATAGTCTGTCTCTGTTATTCTTCCTGGTTTCCATATGTCCTGATTGGATAGCTCACAGTAGGGTATATCTGTTTTCTTTCTCTCTCAGCTGCGTTTGGATGAAGCACAGGAAGCGGAGTGCCAAGTTTTGAAGATGCAGCTGCAGCAAGAATTGGAGCTGTTGAATGCATATCAGAGCAAAATCAAGATGCAAGCTGAGGCACAACATGATCGAGAGCTTCGGGAGCTTGAACAGAGGGTCTCCCTCCGCAGGGCACTCTTAGAACAAAAGGTATAAATAATAGAAGGAAAGTGATTGTTCAAGTATTTGCTTTTATCGAAAGCATTTTGTAAGACCGGGGATTTAGCTCAGTGGTGCCACTGTCTGCCTCTCAAGTGCGAGGTGCAGAGTTCAATCCCCAGAACCAAAAAAAAAAAAAAAGCATTTTGTAAATACATTTTTATATTGACAGGTTACATTTCTTTCATAATACCATATTTCCTTGATTCTAGTTTGGTAGTGGGTTTTTGGGGGGATTTTTTTGTCTTTAAAATTATTAATTCAGTAATGAATCAAGTAAATATAATTAGATAGTGATTGCTAGAAAAAGAATTTGAGAATATGTGACGATAATTGAATTGTGAGAGTAGCAGTCTGGCTCCATGTTCCTCACTTCTTTTGTGTATCTAGCTCTACCTAAGAAGGTTGGAGAAAGACTTGAATAGTGAAGAAAAAGAACTGCAGTAATTGCCTGGGAGAGGCAGGGACAAAGGATAAGGAATATATACTTTACTCATACACCTTGGCCTGGAACTATACAGGTTGGTGGACAATTACTGAAGGGCAGAAGGTAAAACCAGCTCCACACAGGTGAAAAGTCAATCTGAAAATGTTACTTCTGGATACATCTTTACTTCTTCTGACTTATTGTCAGATATATTAGAAGATAGGGATAGACACCCCCCCCCAAATTCAAATCTGTCAGTGTACTAAGAAGTGTGTATATATATACACATATATATGTGTGTGTGTGTGTCTTCTGGGGTGAGGGTAATAGAAAATTTTGAGAGGTAAAAAGAGGTAAGGTATTCATTATTAAAAATGATAGAATATCATTTTTATCCAGGATTCAGAGCTGTGTCCAAAATTCTTGAGTCATAAATTCCCAACAGCTGATACAGTCTCAGGTCCTTTGGGTATTGTTATTAAGTACTGCCTGTTGATCTTCCTAAAGTTGTCATTGTTTCTGGACCATAGGACCTGTGCGTTTTCCTCTGTTTCCTGTAATTCTTATGATAAAAATAGAATGCCTTATTAAATTAAAAGTTCCATCTTTTTTTGTAGGTGTTGGTGCTATGGATTGAACCCAGGACCTTTACACTGAACTGTATATTCCTAGTCCTTTTTCTTTTTTAAGACAGGTTCTCACTTAATTGCTAAGTTGCCCAGGCTAGTCTCAAACTTGAGATCCCCCTGCTTCAGCCTGTCAGAGTGATAGGGTATTAACAGCCATGTGCCACCAAGCCCAGCTTACTTACTTGCTTTTCTATTTTTTTCTTTAATTAAATTTATTTTTAACAGTTACATAAAAACATAAAAATTGTACAAGGATATTTCTACTTTTGAAGTGCAGCTGTCTTTATTACTGGCTTCTTTTAAGGCCTCTAAAAATTATCTCAATGATGTTTTTCATCCAAGAAGGGAAGGATAGAAACATAAATTTTGAAAAATCTTATTTGTACCATATGCCTGCTTCCAACTTTCATATTTTTATTTTGTTTGTTTATTTTTGGGGGGGTACCGAGGATGGAACTCAGGACCTTGTGCTTGTGAGGCAGGCGGCGCAACCACTGAGCTAAATCCCCGGCCCTCCACCTTTCAGATTTAAAATTTTGTCTCTTATGCTTCAAAATTGCTACTAAAAGAAAAATTCCCTATAGTATTTCACAAATAGTGTTGTGAGTGAAATGATGAGTACTATTAAATTATAGTTGTATCTGGATGTGGTGGTACATGCCTATAATCCAAGCGCTCTAGGAGACTGAGGTAGGAGGATCACAAGTTTGAGCCCAAGCTGGGCAGCTTAGCAAGACCTTGTCTCAAAAAAAAAATAAAAAATTAAAAGGGCTAGGGGTGTAGCTCAACGAGAAGGCTTTGGTTCAATTCTTGGGATGGATAGAGGAAGGAAGGAAGGATAAGTAAATAAATAAGTGGTAGATAAATAGTAAAAATATTGTGGTTGTAATTTTAGCTCCACCTAGTGATATATAATTAGCACCTTAGGTATAGCCGTACTTCAATATATTAAACAAAGCCAACGTGTTATACAAACTCTAGTATAATGTGGATATAAAAACCAATATCCAGGCCGGGGATTTGGCTCAGTGGTTGCGTCGCCTGCCTGGTAAGTGCAAAGTTCCAAGTTCGATCCCTGGTACAAAAAAAAAGAAACCAGTATCCTTTGACAATACAGTGGCACTCTTATACATTGCTAATGCATCTTAGAACTAATAAGTTAGAGATGTATATTGAGGCTCTGAAATGTTAAACATTTAAAATTTTGAGAAGTTATTCTAAAGAAAAGAAATCAAAATATAAGGAAAATAGTATACATATATATGTTAATTGTACGTATTTTATAGTAGCTTAAAATAACCATCTAAAATAGAAATATAATTAAGTAAATAGGACCAAGTCACCAAGAAAAATGTTTTTCTTCTTCTCACTATTGGAGATCAAACTCAGGGTCTTGCACTGAGCTATGTTACCATCTCCACTAATACAATCTTACTCAACCATTTAAACAATGGCTATAAAAAAAGAAAGTATTGGGCCGGGGATTTAGCTCAGTGGTTCCACCACTTGCCTTACAAGCTCAAGGTCCCAAGTTCAATCCCCAGTACCAAAAAAAAAAAAAAAGAAAGTATTAACATTGGCAAATGTTTATGGTGTTTGAATAAAATGCAAAAGACAAATTATACTTATTGAAGTAATGTTAGTAGTGGCTTTTGAGACAGGATCTCAGTATGTAGCCTAGGCTAGCCTTGAACTCACAACAATCCCCCTGCCTCAGCCTCCTGAGTACTGGGAGTACAGGTGTGAGCCAGCACATCGGGCCTGTTTTTCTTTTTTCAAATATAATTTATATCACTTTGAAAATAGAAAAATACATAAGATTATTTACTATTTTAAAAGAATAAAAGAAGCAAATGGGCCAGGGATTTAGCTCAGTGGTTCCAGCACCTGCCTCACAAACGCAAGGTCCTGAATTTGATCCCTGGTACCAAAAAAAAAAAACAAGTCATGGTGGTGCCCTCCTATAATCTCAGTAATCTGGGAGGCTAAAGCAGGAGTATTGCAAGTTCGAGCCAAGCCTGGGCTATTTAACAACTTAGTGAGGGCCTGTCTCAAAAAGGGTTTGGATATGGTTCAGGGGGAAGGCCCTGGGTTCAATGCCTAGGACCAAATAAATAAGCAGTGGGTTGATAAGTTTATAGTGCTTTAACATGTTAATTGGTTTATAGAGCTGTTTGCATTTCAGATGAAGTATATAACTGTAAGGTAGTCGGAGATCAGTTGGCAGTTGCCAAGACCATACATCCCTTTATAAAAACTGAAAATTGCAGCAGGGGGGGTTATTCAGTGGTAGAGCATGTGCTTAACATGTACAGGACACAACACCAGAAAAGAAAAAACTTCACTAAACAGAAACAGTTGTATTTTCTATACTTTGTGTATACTGGTTGCACAGATAAGAAACAGTTAACTAAAAAAAAATAGAAGTACTACAAAAGAGTGAATTGTTCTTTAGGCTGAGACACAACAAAACAAGCTACATTTGTACATAGATTCTTGAGTTCTGTTTTATGTATGTATGTTTTGTTTTGTTTTATTGGACAGATTCATACTATGTAGTTCAGGTAGGGCTTGAACTCACTGTGTACCCCAGGCTGGTCTCAAACTTGTGTCAATCCCCCTGCATCAGCCTCCCAAGTGCTGGAATTATAGACATTTGCCACCTTGCCCAAACCTAAATTTTGTTTTTGGAGGGTGCTGGAAATGAAACCCAGAGCCTTGCACATGCTAGGCAAATACCACTGAGCTAAACCCACAGTCCATGAAGTTTTATTTCAACTTTTCTTATCCTTCATTTACATTAAAGTTTCAATTAGATAACAATAGTAAATGTTAAATTTCATGTTAATTTTCAGTTTACACACATATGAAAAGTAGTATAAATGGCCTTTTAAAAAAATCTCATTTAGGGCCAGGGATTTAGCTCAGTGGTTCCACTGCCTGCCTCGCAAGTGCAAGGTCCTGAGTTCGATCCCCAGTACCAAGGAAAAAAATCTCATTTAATTTTCTCTCAGTATTTCACTTGATTGCAATATCTTGGTTGATAATGTTTAAGATTTAGAAATTAAAACACCTTACCAGGCCTTTCTTTTTGTATTCACACAAAAAGATCACAGGAGGGCCAGGGCTTTAGCTCAGTGGTGCGGCTACCTGCCTCACAAGTGCAAGATCCTGAGTTCAATCCCCGTACTCAAAAACACAAAAGAAAAAAGCTCTGCTTAAAAAGAGCACATTAGGTTCAGAAAACCTCTAGAAAGTTTAATTATGGTAACAGTATGTACTGAGTGAAACCACTTTTCTAGTTTGCAGTAATATACTTTAAAAGAAGTAGATTTAATGTAACCTATCATAAATCTTAGTTTGGAGAAGTTTTTTTTGTGTGTGTGTGGCACTGGGGATTGAACCCAGGGCTTCAGACATGCTAGGCAAAGGCTCTATGAGCTATATCCCTTAGCTCTTTTTTAGTGTCTTTTGTTTGGTTGGATTTTGGATTTTTTATGTTTTGAGACAAAGTCTTGCTACGTTGTCCAGCTGTGCTCAAACTTGTGATCCTCCTGCCTCAGCCTCCCAAAGTGCTAGGATTATAGGCGTGTGCCACAGTACCCATCTTTGAGTTTTATGTAACTGAAAAACACTGTCATGCATAAAGTTCCTGGGTCCTTAGGTTTAACCCTTAACACTGGGGGAAAAAAGTCCTCTTTTTTTTTTTACATGACAGAACGTAGCAGCAAACAAAATTGATAAAATGCTTATTGGATAAAATATTGATAAGCATTAATATGTTTAAATTTTTTATCATGAGTTCCCTTTAGATAATATGCAAGGAATTCAGGTCATTTATATTCTTACCACATTGCCATCATTTATTGTATCTCTTGAATTAAACATTTTTAGTGCATGGGTTTGTGAGGTTTTTACACATAAAATATTTAAAAGAAAAACTAAAATTCTTTTTTTGGCGGGGGGGTACCCAGGATCAAACTCGGGTCCTTATGCTTGCAAGGCAGGCGGTGGAACCACTGAGCTAAATCCCCAGGCAAAACTACAAAACTAAAATTCTTGATTCTTTAACAGATGTGTAGATTTAATTCTGTATGATTTATTTTTTTCCCCAGTACTGGGAATTGAACCAAGGGCCTTTGCACTGAGCTATATCCCCAGACCTTTTTTTTATTTTTGAGACAAGGTCTCACCAGCTCACTAAGTTACCCAGGCTGGGCTCAAACTTAACAATACTCTTGTCTCTCTCTCACAGTACTGGGATTACGGGTACCCCAGCCCAGGCTGGGGCTCAACCTTTCAATCTTTCTCCATTAACCTCCCGAGTAGCTAGAATTCCAGATGTGCACCACTGTGCCTGGCTGAATTTGGTATTTTATAGAGATAGAAAAATTATTTTACAAATACTTTTCTCCTCTCCCCCCTTGCCCTTCCCCTCCCCTTCTCTATCTGTCTTTGGTGCTAGGATTGAATCTGAGACTTTGTACAGGCTAACGCTTTACCACTGAGCTACACCCCAGACCTATAATTTTAATTATTTGCCAAGTTTTAAAACTTGGCAAATATAAGGATGCATAACTAAAGATTAGTCCTTAATCCTACCATTGAGAAATCACCCCAGTTACCAATTTAATCTTTCCTTCAGAGGAATTCATGATTAATCTGTCTTCCTTCAAGTTTCATACAAAATGCCTGTGACTTTTTAACCCTTTTATACATAGAACATTAATTTTTAAATTCTTCTTACTCTAATTTATTCTGACCTATTTATACTTCCCCAAACACTTCTTATCATTTCTCCAGGCCTTTACATGTCTTTCCTGTGGTAAAAATGTCTTTTCCCATCTCAAGTTCCTGGTAAATGTCTAATCTTTTAAAATCTAGTCTAGGGCCCAGGGATTTAGCTCAGTGGTTTCGCCTCCTGCTGCGCAAGCGCGAGGACCTGAGTTCGATCCCTGTTACCAAAAAAAACCAAAAAAAAATTGAAATCTAGTCTATATACCCTCTTTCAGTAGACTTTTCTCCCCTTCTTCCTCCCCTATAGAGTGAATCATTCCATTCTTTACCTATAAATCCTTTATTATATCTTACCACATTCTAATGCAGTTTCTAATTGTGTGTGCTTCCCATGCTAAAACTGTATACTTTTACAAAGGGTAGTACTATAAACTTGACACATAAAAATTAAATGTATTTGTTGAGCTAGATTTCTGCAGTCAGTCCTCAGATCCCTTAAAACCTGATACGATCATAATTTGGTGCTCTACTGCTTTGAAACTTGAATTTTGTACTTGACACATTCTCATATGAAAATTTTGTCCTGGTACTCATTTTTCGTTTGGTGCCCAACGTGCAAGCTAGAACTTGTGAGTGTCCATTGCCTTGTGACTTGCTGTCCTTTCCAGCCAAAAGAATTTGTTTGGTACTCATTGTTTTTGGTACTAATCAAATCTCCTGGAACCAATTAATGGCACGCACCAAGGCACCACTGTAATTTGGGGTGGGGAATGTAGCTTAGTGGGAGAGCACCTATTTAGCCTTTAGGAGGTCCTGGCCTCAATAACCAATCCCCCAAAACAAAACAAAATGATAATTTGATGCTCCTTTACAAATTGTTTTATTGGTGCGTATTAGTAATACATAATAATGAGATTTATTTTGGTGTATTGGTTCATGCATATATTTTGATTATTTTCATCCCTGTTTAAGTTCTCTTTCACCTCCTCCTTCCCCTTTATCCCTACATATTCTCTTTTTATACAATTTTTTAAAACTTTTTTTTTTTTGTACAGGGTATTGAACTTGGGTCCTTGCACTTGCGCAGCAGGCGGCGAAACCACTGAGCTAAATCCTCGGCCCTTAAAACATTTTATTATGGAAAATTTCAGACATCACAAAAGTAGGAAGACTAGTACAAGGGAATCCCTAAGTACCCCTCATCCATCTTCAACAATTAGTATTTTACAGATTTTTTTTTTCCTCAATACCTTATGAGGGTGTCTAGGGTTTTTAAAAACAGCCAAGTATAGTATAATTTCACCCCTAAATATAGATAGAACATTTTGATCTTACGTTAATTATGGTTTGTTAAGCATATTTCCATTGTGGCACCTAACAAAATTAGTATCATTGTTTTTTTTAGTTCACATCTAAGTTTCTCCTGTTATTTCGAAAAAGTCTTCTTTGTAATTGGTTTATTTGGATTGAGGCCCAAACAAGATCCATACATTATATTTGGTTAATTGCCTTTCAAGTTTTAGTTTGTAACAATTCTTCCTCTCCCCTCAGTTTTTAAATTGTGGATTATAGAAATGTCTAAATTCTAGATTTGGCTGATTGCATACTCCTGGTGTCATTTAATAGTTTCCACTCTCTTGTACTTAATATTTCCTATGAACTGGTAGTTAGATCAAAAGGCATGATTATATTTAGGTTCAATTTTTTTCTTACTAAGTTTTTCACAAGGATTTTTCAGTATGGTTACTGTGTACTTCCTTTTGTATCAATCCCATTAAAAATATATAATGTCTAGTCCTACTTTTAAGTAATTATTAATATTAATCAGTCAGATATTGTCAGTCTGATCATTTAGTTAAAAGTTATTCAAGTTTATAAAAATTTGTTTTATTGTGTATTTTCCCATATAATTTATTTTTATATAGTCAGCTGTGTTTATCTGTAATAAATGAATTTATAACTTCCAGCTTTCCAAAATGGATTATTATGATAGTCCTTTTTTTTTTCTTTTTTGGCAATGCTAGTGATCAAATCCAGGACCTAATTAATATATGTTAAGCAAGTACACTACACCTCCATCCTTAGTCTTCATTAAGGGCCTACTAACTAGAGTTAAGATCCTAGTTTCACTTCACTAATCTACTTGTCTATTCCTACAACAATATTTATTTAATTGGAAAGCTGAGTATGGTGGCACATACCTATAACCCTAGTACTCAGGAGGCTGAGACAAGGAGGATCGCCAGCCTGGGCTATATAGTGAGTTCAGAGCCAGCTTAAACTTGAACTACATAGTGAGACCCTTTCTCAAAAAAACCCTAAACAAAAACAAAAACTATTTGTTTTATTGGAATGTCATTGTGGTATCTAGTATCTGTTAGCTTCCCCTTGCTTATTTTCTTTTTCCACTCATTTTCATTTTTATTTGATGGATTTAGCAACCATTGGTGATAAATGCATTTATTACTTTAATAAAGTTTACCTTTGCTTTTAAGAACTTAATTTTACACATTTTAGAATTAAGAATTATGCAAGATTCCTACATACACCTCTTGATTTTTAAATATACATCCATAAAATAGCCACTTCAAAATTGAGTAATCGTTGCTTCCTTACTTTATAGATGTTTTAAAAATAAATTGGCTTTTCTTTTGCTTTCCCTTCCCCAACCCCCAACAGATCGAAGAAGAGATGTTGGCTTTGCAGAATGAGCGCACAGAACGAATACGAAGCCTGCTAGAGCGTCAAGCTAGAGAAATTGAAGCTTTTGACTCTGAAAGCATGAGACTAGGTTTTAGTAACATGGTCCTTTCTAATCTCTCTCCTGAGGCATTCAGCCACAGCTACCCAGGAGCTTCTGGTTGGTCTCACAATCCTGCTGGGGGTCCAGGACCTCACTGGGGTCATCCCATGGGTGGCCCACCACAAGCTTGGGGCCATCCAATGCAAGGTGGACCCCAGCCATGGGGTCACCCCTCAGGGCCAGTGCAAGGGGTACCTCGAGGTAGCAGTATAGGAGTCCGCAATAGCCCCCAGGCTCTGAGGCGGACAGCTTCTGGGGGACGGACGGAGCAGGGCATGAGCAGAAGCACGAGTGTCACTTCACAAATATCCAATGGGTCACACATGTCTTATACATAACTTAATAATTGAAAGTGGCAATTCCGCTGGAGCTCTCTGCCAAAAGAAACTGCCTACAAACATCATCACAGCAGCCTCCTCACTTGGGTACTACAGTGTGGATGCTGAGTGCGTAATGGCATATTTTAATTCATTTTTGTAAAGCGTACTGTTTTGTGTTTACTAATTGGGATGTCATAGTATTTGGCTGCCGGGTTTGATTTTTTTTTTTTAACTTCTGGGGAAATTTTGAAAAGGGGAATTGATATTAAATATTTCACGCATGTAGTAAAATGAAATTGGCTATATAGAGGGGATATTTTCTGAATACTGCAAAAATAAAATGCAGCAAAAGTGGCTTGAATCATCACTTTAGGGTATCATATCCTAAGAAGTTTGTGAGAAAATCTAAAGCTGTCCTCCATATTCAAAATTTTTATGAGCCAATGACAGCAGGCAGCATATGCTGAAACAAGTTGTTATTGGGAGTATACCTGCACCTCCTCACCAATATATTTTCTTTATTAAATTGTTCTGACTTCTCAGCCTCATTTAGATTGAAAAAGCAGAAATCCATGAGTACTAAAGGGTTGTGTTGACCTTTTCAAATCGTAGAAAACATCTTAGTTCTTTTTTGAATGCTTCATAAGTTTGTCAATGATTTTGTCAGGTCAGTTGTGCCTTCTTTGTGTCACAGCAAGTTAGAGTTGCTTAAGGAGATCACAAGCTGTATAGGGATTACGTTAACCAACCTGTGAGCCTTTAATGGGGAAGACCAGCAGAGTGAGAGGGGTCCCTGAAAGTTTATATGATAAGTATGTCCAGCAGCAGCATGAGGAGATGGTATATATATCCTGACATTTGTAGCTTATACTGTGATATTTTATCCTAGCTAAGCTCTAAAAGTCCCAACTTCCCAAACAATACTTTTACTTTGTACAGAAACAAAGACATAAAGCCAATACAAATCAAATGCCAGAGGTATTTGAATGATGCCATATTTGCAAACTGCCATCGATGGGAATTTTCATCACACTACGTAGACATAATTTGACTATCCCCTTTTGGCTTATGGGATTTCCTGTTTAGAAGTAGACTAGTCAATTATTTAAATGTTTAGTTGCCATAGTGAACCAGGAGCCACTGAGCCAATGACTACCAGCTGCTGACTAATCCTCATTACCACTGTAGATTTTGCTGCATCTGCAGGTCCTCTGTTTTATAATTGCTGTTTTTGTTGCTGCAGTACTTTACAAACTTCTAGTTCATTGAGACTTAGTGACTATTTGGAATCATGTTAACATCACACAGTAGGAAACACCACTCCAGAAGTCTCAAGCCTCAGTGCTGAAATACTACTGAAAAGGAGCTAGTAAGTTTGGCAAATGAAAAAAAAAAAGTAAAAGTAAGTTATAGTGGTCAGGGGGAATCTCTTGACAAAAGCTAACATTTTTGGGGGGTGGGGCATGTTTTGTTTTTTTAAATTTGTTTTGTTTTACAATGAAGGATCAACCCAATGTTGAAAGTCAGATGTTACTTGGTATTTCCATTATGTATGTGGAAGTTGAGCTAGAGGTGGGTGGGGAGCTGTGAATATGACTTGAAGAAGAAAAAAATGTCCTCTTTAGTGACAGATCAGTTTCTTACAAGTTATTGTCCTATCCCCTCCCCCTTTGTCTTGAAGAACTCCTGCTGCTAACTCTGGATCCTGCTTTTCACATACTCAGAGGGCTCCAAGATAGAACTCTCCGTGTCCCTCATAACAACACTCTTTCCCCTACCCAAACTAATGACCAAATTGTAATCTATTACTTCACTTTCTCAACTAAATTTTTTACGTTTTCCCTAGGTTCTATATGTCAGCCCAGTCTCCATGAATCCTCCCCTTTAGGGATTTCTGACATTGATTTGAAGGTAACTAAGAAAATTAATGCATTAATATAAATCCTTTAAAAACCAAGATCAAAGTGGAGTTCACACATACTTCTAGTCAGTGTTTCAAGTAGCATTCTGATGTATTGTCCTCTTGGCCATGCTCCAGATCACCAGGTTTTAGCTAAATATGACATACATTTGTCATAGCTGATGAAAAGGCTTTTAGTGTTTTTTTATTTCCATTCAACTATTATACAGTATTTCAGTGAGAAATCTACCTACTTGGAGGAGAATTATAAGAGCTTTAGAAAGTAATGAAGTATCCAGAAATGCAATAAATTTTTTTTGTTGTTGTTTTGGGGGTTTTTTTGGTACCAGGGATCGAACTTGGGTCCTTGCGCTTGCGCAGCAGGCAGTGAAACCACTGAGTTAAATCCCCAGCCCCGCAATAGATTTTTAATACCTTTAAAAACATTCTTCAGAGATCTGGCTGCCCCCCCCCCCCCCGAGAGGTGGAATAAGGAATCAGATATTTGCTTACAAAACCTCTTGCACACTCAAAGGTACTACCAGTGATACATTTTAAAATCCATTTGTGAGCTTCAGTTAGGCTAATTGAATTATTGAATTCATTCGCATCAAATATACTTAAAAAGCATGATTGAATACTGACTCCAAAGGTCTGTCCAGTTAGGCTTTGTATCTAATTTGTGTGCCAACTAGTTTTACATATAGGTTATGATTATACCTGGATTATATCATTAATTTTAATCAAAATATATATAGTTTGCAAAAATGATTTAAATTAATTGGTTTTTGTGTTTGTGGGATGTTAACTTCTGACGAATCTCATACATGATAGGAATCATAGAATAAAACTAGTAGCAGGAAAATTTGAAGGGTTTTAAGATACCCTGAAGAAAGAGCAAGCACTTTCTGAACCTGTATGCAAATGTCAAAATTTGATCAAACTAACACTACCTCCTCCCTAGTGTTGGTGTCCACTCATTATATATATATGTGCTTAAGAAAATTAAAAGCATGGGAAATTTGTGTAGCATATCAGAAATTGTAACTGTTATATCTGGTATCCAGAGCCTGGCAGTGAAAAGTTTCTTGTGTTTGCCCATGTCCTTTTTTTTGATCTAGCATTTTAAAAATGCAAAGCCTCATATGTTGAAACATTTTTATTCCTAATTAGATTTTCTTCCCTTTGCACATTTTTCTTCTTTTTAAAAGTCAGTTCTAACCCCAAATTAGAGTATCTGAAAGCATTTTCACTATATAGATAATGTTAGTTTAGCAATGTGTTTATATTATCTTTATCAGAGCTGACATTCTTTTTAGTCATTTTTATACATAGAGATGAATGGTCCTGCAAGTGAAGTCACACCCACAGGTGTAATCGACTTAAGTAATTTGAACTTAGCATAGTAATGATTTTCAGCTGCCTAGACAAAGGTACACACCATTCAAAACACTAAAGACTCCTGGACACTCCCATTTCTACCAGTTTTTTTTTTCTCAAACCCTGCCCCTCTTTTCCAAAATTGAAATTTCTATCACTTTTTCAGACCATAAGGTAGACTTTAGTAACTTTCTGCTTTTGTAAGTACTAAACGTCTGGCATTTTAAACTTTTATAAAAATACATTGTGTTGGACACTGGAATAATACTATTTATTTTCACCTGTGAAAATGACTTCATTGTACTTGAAACACCTCCTTTGCAATTCTCCATTTGTGCCATTCACTAGTGGAAATAAATTGTATTATACCATGATCTACTGGCTTTTTTAAAGTGTGTTAAATATGCACATTTTTGGTGTAGCTATTATCATTTGTATGTATATATTGTATATACATATGAGTGTATGTGTGTGTATAGATGGATGGATGTAACTCATACTGTACATTTCCATCAGGGCACTTAAGGTTCTGTTGTTTTTGTTTGGTTTTATTTCAGTCCTCAGTAAAGGCAAGAATGCAGGTGTTTTTTAAAGAATGAGTACTCTGGGTTGATATTTATGAGAGGGTGATCATTAGATCTTTTCCTTTTTAATCTCTCTTAGCACTTGTGTGAGTGGAGAGAAAAGTAAAAAAAAATATGGAACCATAAGTTGCAGTGCAGTAAAATAGTGCTAGGGAAAAAGCCAGTTAGTGTTTCTGTGAACTTTGTGTTGTGATGCAACAAAAGATGAGTGATGACAAAGAGAAATGAATTGTGGAAAGAACACTGGTGGTTATTTCCTCTGCAAAGATGATAAAAAGAACCAATAAATCACACAATCTTTATATATTTTCTGTATTTCTTAGTAGTGATGCCATTGATCCTCTTTTTTATTCCATTAATACTATTAATTATATATTTTGCTGAGGATCTAAACAGCCAAGAAAGGAATTACAACTAACGCATTGAAGGTTCTGAACAATCAATAGGAAATGGCTCCTGAGAGTGGATTAAGGTATTGGTGTGAAGGGCTTTCTGCTTTTAGCTGCCTCTTCTTGCTTGGTAATAGTAAGTTCTTTGTGCACCTTCCATCCCTTCTGAGCCACTACTATTCAAGCAGAGATTTGGCCCAACACAGCAACCTTGTCCTTGGAAATTTATATTGTTCTGCATTTTGTCCCATGCTGAAAATGTGAAGTATCCTAGTGTGTATTCAAGTCAGAAAATAATATATTTAAGATGTTTAAAGTGAATCTCCTGTAGTGGTGGATGAAGAAATTCTCATTTCTTAGAGCTTTCTCTAAGCAGCAAAACTAAAACTTGGGCTGTCATCTTTGAGCTGCATACCCAAATACAGATCACTATTCATTATTGAAGGGAAACAAATTCTCTATTTTGTTTTCCCCTAACATGATAGCATTTCTACCCAGATTGTAGTGTTGCCTTTTAAAATGCACTCATTCATAGTTGTTAAGAACTGGAAATTTCCCATCCTCAGATTCCTTAAAGGAAGAGTGTGCTGTACATGTAGCATACTTGCCTCTTATGTATGCAAGGACTACTGATCGAAGTCTGTTTTGCTGTGTCTGGTTATGTTGTCTGCACTTTTATGAAATTGCTACAGTAGATCTACATTGGAAATCATTTAATTTGTAAGGAAGTTTTAATTAAACACTGTCTAGAAAAAGAAAGTGAAGCTGAGAACTCTTCCTTTATTGTCATATTTTCTACTGAATTCTGATACCATCCGTTAAAGTCGTATTGACTAATTTTTTCCTCCTTATATTCAGATTTCAAGAATTTTATTCATACAAAGGAAGAGAATCCATTTGGCCTGATGGTAGTCTTCAGATCATAATACATGAATTAGTAGCACCTTATCTGCCTATCGTGGGCTTCTTAAACTTGCACTTCCCACTCACCCAAAGATTGGTATTTTTTTTTAAGAAAATAAAGGCAGAGAATTAAACCTGGGGAGCCATGTACTATGTCACCATCACTGTTAACTGTTTCCCAGCAATCCAAACTTTTGAAATTTCACAGATTTTTTTTTTTGTGGGGGTGTATGTGTTTGTTTGATTGTATTTTTGTTTGTTTTATTTTTAAATATACAAGGGGTTTTTTAGAGAAAAAGGTTAATCCTCTCAAACAGCAGGATGCCCACCAGTAATCTAAACATCTGTAGGTAGTTTGCCATGACAAAGTGGAGAGAAGTGAGTCTTCTTGAATGAATGAAAAAGGGTATCTTGATGCCCCAGAATTCCCCTCAAAGTACGGGTAATTCAACCTGCACAGTTTCCTTTTACTCACAGTTTTTAGCAGTTGTGAGTGAAAAATCATGTAATTATCTGTAAATATGTAGTTAACAAATTGACCTAGTTTCTGTATTTTTTTGGTTTTGTACTAAAGTTTATAGGTCTGTGCCAGCTAGAGAGGAGTTGCTCTCATTGCCAGTTGTGGTTCTAGCATCTAACCCTGAAACCATCCTAGGTGACATTTTTAGAATTAATGCTTAAATGTTGTTCAACGGGGAAATGAAGCTTAATCATTGGTCAGGTCTGAAATTTTTTAAGCTAAGTAACTTTATTTAATATAATGATTACAAGTCCTCAGTCATGAGTGAGGTAGGAGCCTCCCTCCCCCAGTGGCCATGTTTACAGAAGTGTGTTTTGTTTATAAAGTGCACAAGTGTGTTATTGTTTATGTAAATTATGCAGGTGATAACATTATGGTTTGGGACTGTTTATGGGCTCTTTACCTGAGTTTTCAAATGAAATGAACTATGCTTATTGCTGGCACATTTATCCCATATCTGGAACATTTGTCTAATTCCAGAATTATATATGTTCCTTAAACATTACCCCCATTTAACCTCCCTATCTCTGATATGCCTTGTAGGCAAGGTATTAAAGACTGGTGAACATAGATGAGGGAAATGCATTTCTTAAAAATCCATGAACCCTCAATTGTATGCTTTCAGTACTTGTGTTACATGTTTCTATGGCTACTTTGAAGTCAGTGGTTTAGAAATGAGATACCAATGTTAATGAAAAGTGTGTACTCTTTGCTTTTGCATGGCTTGGCTTAGTATCCAAGGTATATTAGAGCCACTTGAAAGCATGAAGACCAGTTATATGGGAACAGGTTTCTCTCGGTGGCACATTTTACTTTTCCTTAACACTCAAATACGTTGTCTAAGCATGAACATTATTACTATAAATTGCACATGGTCATAGAATGAATTATGTAATTTAAAAGGATACAGCTGCCTATTGTTTGCAGTTTCTGACTGGTCTGTGTGACCATTTGGCACATAATCAAAAAAACCCTGAGGGGTGTTAGAACCCTTCTTAACCCTTTTTTGGGGGTCATAAACCGGTGTGTTTAGTTTACCAAGATGTTGGCTGCCTCTGGTGGATTGCCAGAGAAGCTGTCTTTTGGTGCCCATTCCAAATGTGCTATTGTGCTTCCTCGCATTTCATACTATCAAAGAAACCACCACCCCTTCTTCCTAACAGCATTTTTTGCCTTTTACTTCACATTAAATGGGAATTGTGCCTACTTAGAGTATCCCTGCAATTAATTACATGTGTCCCAAAATTATCCAAGCTAGAGACACAGGGAAGAAAACATGTTTAAAAACAAAAAGTTACTTGAGGCCAGTTATTTGACAAGGTATTTTAGCACATTATCTTGACACTATATAATGAGGCTATTAGGAGTTCCAAGTGGTTTCATAGAGTAAAATCAAAGTGAAGAGGGATGTGTGGGGTTTCTATTAGGAGATAATTTTGTTCTTATTTACCTTTCCTTTTATGATCCTTCTCTGCTAGTTTAGACAGGTTAATTCTCCAAATTTTTTTTAACTTTTTAGGAAAATTTTTACAAAAGTAATGGTCTGATGTAAATAACATTTTAAAGTATAGCGCACATAACTTCCCCAGACTGTTCCAACCTGATCATTTGTAAATGCTTTAGAGTTTTTTAAATTAACACCTGTGTTGCTAAATCTTATTTATGTAAGTCTGCTAAAGTTTTTAACCCACTTAAGATTTAAACATTTAAATAATGGATGGGTTACTATAAGCAATTTAGCTTCCAGAACCCCCTTGTTTTAGTACATGAAAAAGCCTAATGCTCATTAATGAGGTTGGAGAGACTATGAGAAATATGTATAGTGTATATTTTAAAACAGCTTTGCTTGTATTGTGAAGATTTAAAAACAAACTTGAGATTTTTAACGTAACTATTAACACAGTTTTAACATAAGTTATCCCACTGGGTTTAAGAGCATCTTGAATGTATAATCCTTTTTGTAACCCAGGTTGGTTTCTGCTTTTACCAGTCATCCAAACATTATTTATATTTTTAGTTTTAAGTACTCATTTTCCTTTGTTATCCTCAAACAGCATGATTTATTTTGCACATGTAGAAATTTTTAAAAGGAAAAAAATTAATACGTCATTTATCTGGTTCTTCACTTCTCTTTCCTACTAACTACTTCTTTAAAGGCCATATCACTCCATTTGCATTATTTCTGCAAATGCCAGGGTTGGTTTTTATTTTTATTTTTGCTATTTACCTTTAAAAAAAGAAAATGCTTCAGTCAATTGCTTTTTTATTTAAAAAAGAAAAAGAAAAAAGAAAAGAAAAAAGCTGTAACCTTATCATTTCTGAGTAGACCATTGAGAGATGAATGCACACCTGTCATAGCCCAGGACCAGCTTTGGTAGCTGAAGGGAATATTTTAACTAAGCAAGATGTTCTTTTCTGAAAGTGGTATATATTATCCACAATCTGTTTCAGTTATTCCCATGAATCAGGGGTCCAGATAAAATGAAGGTTATCAGCTAACTGATATGTTATCATTGAGGTTCATCAATGAATTTGTACATTTCTAGTTCCCTTTGGTGAAGGGAAAAATGATTTTGCAAGACCTAGATTTTGGCTTGGTTTCTTGCCTCCTTTTTTGGCAGCCTTCATCTTCTCATCTTCCAAAGCACTTGAGCCTGTAGGGTTTTCATAGTGGACGAAGGACTTGTGGTCTTTTAAAGCTGGGACTGATTTGTGTGTGTATGTGTGTGTGTGAGAGAGATTATCATGTTGAAAGTGTGGTAGTGTTCTACCACTTTACTGGTGACTAATTTTAAACATACACAGTCCTTTCAATTTTTGGACCAAACACGCCCACGGTGGAGGCTTATCAAGGGTTGCAATGGGAAAGAAGCCTCGCCCTCACTGTCAGCACCAGCTGGTAAAGGTGACTGTACAGATGTGCATTTTCCTTTTGGTAGTAATGGTCCACAGCACTAACTGGTAAGGCTTATTGTACAGTATATTGTCAGTATTCTTCTGGTTCAGCATACCTTATAGTTCATATATAACCTGTATTAATTGTATAGATTGTGCATTTAAAGCTGTTACCAAGTTGTCAGAACATAAGAGCGAAAACAAGGTCATATGTAATATTTTGTTTGTAAGTATCCTTTGTATCATAGCAAAGGAAATGTTTAAAAAAATCAACTGTAATAAAGTAATTTTAGTACACAGAGTGTCTGCTCAGTTTTTTAAAGCAATTTTATTCCCATAAAGATATATTTTAGTGTAGCAACCATTAAGTAATTATTGAACCTCAGGCACAGTGCTAGATAATACAAAAATGAGTATGATATGGGTAAAAGGGTACTCTACCAATTACCTCAGCTTTGCTCTGTCCAGAGAGTAAAGTGGCCTGTTGTCTTCTAAGTGAGAGGATTCTTCTTTTGGTTCTGTTTGGTGCAGGACCTTAAGTTTCATTCCTTTGTTGTAATCTGTATAACTGTAACCCGTCCCATACAGGGACACAATTCTCTTAAAAATCATCACGTACATACATTTATTGAGACAAGGTCTCGCTGTATAACCCAGACCTTCCAAATTGTGATCCTTCTACCCTAGGCTCCCAAGTGCAAGGATTACAGGTGTGTACCACCATGCTCAGCAAAAATTGTCACATTTTAGCCTTATGGGGAACAGCAGACATCTAATCCAGTCTTGTTGTTTAAAAACAGTTTGGGTGACATTTTTTGTTGAAAGACTAATTCAGGGGAGGAAATGTCCATGGGTGCTAGTCTATTTTTTTAATTCAAAAAAATTACTTTTAAGTATGCATGAGTCTGTATCAAACACTACCAGAACCTCAGGAATAGTAGACAAGATCTCTACTACTGAACTATACTCGAAGCCTGTAAGTATCTTTTTTTTTTTTTTGTACCAGGGATTGAACTTGTGACCTTGACGTAAGTATCATTTTAAAAAGTATAGTTTACCTACCATATTGAAGACTTAGAAAAATTGCAGATTTTTAAATCAGCATGCTAGTATGGAGCCATTGTGACATTAACATTTATATAGTGTGTTAATTTGCCTGGTTCAAACAACTGGCAGAACCAAAATTAGACCCCACGTCTCCTATCTGGTATTTTCTATGTATCCCCCTGAATTTGGAGGAAATCATTAAGAGTTTAAAATACAAAATTCTCTTTCTGGTTTAGTCCCAAATTGGACTCTACACATTACATTGGGGTTAAAGACTTTGGGTTATGCTTAGAAGTTAAAACTATACTGACTATAAAAAAATTTTTGAATATAAATAACCATAATGGTGAGCTACCTCCACAGTACCAGTGCTATTGCCTGCATCTCCGTGATGTTCCATAACTACCATCTTCCTATATATGTCTTGGCAATTAATGACTTTACCATAATTGCTTTTTTTTTTTTTAGACAGTCTAGCTTTATACTGAAGGCTGGTCTCAAACTCAAAGTGATCCTCCTGCCTCAGCCTCCTGAGTGCTGGGATTACAGGTGTGCACCACCACGCCCGGCTCTATACTTGTTCTTAAGGAATAAAAAGTGACAAACCTCCTGAGGGTATTCAAGGTTTGCAGAGAATGCAGTAAATAGTTTTGGAAGGTGCTTTTTATAGATCATACATCCCCCCCCCCCCCCGGTGGAGTTGTGCACTCTACCAGATCTAAAGAGAAAATCTTACTATCATCTCTGATTTGTTAGAAAAGGGCATGTGATGTGTGGCATAAAGAACATTGGTTAGGGATCTGGGTTAGCCCCATCACTACTAATTGTGAGATCTTGAAAGTCACATTGTCTTGGACCTTATCTATAAGAAATAAGAATATCAGGCCGGAGATTTAGCTCAGTGGTTTTGGCACCTGCTGTGCAAGTGCAAGGACCCAAGTTCGATCCCTGGTACCAAAAAAAAGAAAAAGAAAAAAATAACATAGTTTTGGGGCTGGGGATTTAGCTTAGTGGTCCTGGCTGCTGCCTTGCAAGCACAAGGTCCTGAGTTCAATCCCCAGAACAATATATATATATATATAGTTTTGGCTAAAACAAATAGACCAGTGTAAAACCTATTCATTGTAACATAAAAGTGCAGGAGGGCAATAGAGTCTGCCCTCAACTGGGCAACCCAGGCAGGACCCAACTTGTAAGTCTCAAAGGTGCTGCAGTTCCAGGCCTTTTCCACCTATGCAGTAGAATTAACTGGAATTTCTTGGCCTTGTAAGAAATGGGAGTCTGATCTGAAACCAGATGCCACTACATCGTAGAGGTCTTTAGGCTCTCATTGAAGAATTAAATAATTTTAGAGAATGGTTTCTTCATGCTTCTACTATTTCATTATATCCTTATACATGAAGGACTATACACACTTTAAATCTTTTCATATGGAACAAGGAATAACTCCCAGGGTTGTTGAAGTCACAGATGAAATAGAAAATAGAACCCACATCTCCAAGTTAGTACCTCAGTACTCTACCCTACACTACAAACACCAGTTGCCCACCAAAAAATTTCTATGGCTAGACTAGAAGATCAGGGAATTTTGACCCTGTTGAGAAATTACTAGCTCAGAGCAGGAGGCCTGGTTGTTGATTAGACAGAGCTGCCCCTGGTTAGTGTTAAACAAAGCTAAATCTACACAAGTGAGGCAATGACCAATGAATGGAAAATGCAGGGAGGCTCTGATAAACTCAATAGGTAAGCATGGCTCAGTACACAGAGGATTTCAAAAGACAAACAGCACATATTTATTTCTAGATATTTATACATTCTGGTGTTGCAGGGAGACTACAAGTTATGCAGTATTTACAGAGGAAAATAAATTAGAGAAATGTTTGTTTAACCACAGTGATAAACATTAGGGTGAGATACTGCTTTATTTTAGGGAAAGGGTGGAGGGGTGAGAAACATTTTATATATATTCATATCATTCATTGTTTGAAGTTTTGTTTTACCTTCAAAGTTTTAGCTCCTCTTGGGCACTTATAACCAGAGGGTAGGACCTGGTAGCTCAGTGGTTCTGCCGCCTGCCTCGCAAGTGCAAGGACCCAAGTTTGATCCCCGGTACCAAAAAAAAAAAATCTTATAACCAGAGGGTAGTTACTGGATATCTTTAGTTATTATATCTGGTCACATTCGCAGGATTGTTTTCATTAAAATCTTCATCATCTCCTAACTCCCAGTATCCTGGTCAAGTCTATGGTCACTAGATAATCAAATCTAAAAACGAACCAGAAGTCTTTACAACCCTCTAAGCTTATTAGCATTATTTCAATTCACAGATTCTCATATGGGAAGAGGCTATCTGATCCAACCCACTTTCATCTCTTAGCACTCCTCCATGATAGGTGCCAAGGGGTAGCCTAGCTTGAATATTCCACTGATGTGCAACTTGTTCCCTGAGACATTTATCCTAAATGGGCACTCTGGCACCCTAGGTGCATAACTTCCGAAGCCTTCCTAAAGGCAATCTGCATATTATGATAGCTTCTGAAAATTTCTGATTTCACCCTTTCTGGCTTGACTGTAGAATCACAAATACTCTTTACTGGCATTGTTACAAAGTTATACCAATGTGGACATGCGCATCTGCTTGTTTAAATAGGGAGAGGAATTCATGCTGAAGTTCATTTCTATAGGAAGATACCCTGGCATTACTAACAAAGGATATCGTGGTTTGGATGAAAGATGAGCACAGAGGACTTTCTGATGCTGGGGTGGTTTTGAGGTTATATATAAAGCCAAGATGACACTTCCTGTGTCAAGACTTCTAACAGTATCCAACTCTTAGAAACAATGTCTTCATTCAAAACATAATGTCTTCTCAAAGAGAGAATTTGGGGCTTTGTTTAACAGTAAAACCACTCTTGGAACCTATTTATAAATATATAAAACACTCAGTCTTTATGGAAGTTAAATTATAGCTTACCACATTCTTGACACCAAAGGTGAGAACATAGTAGAGTTCAAAGAAACACTCAGAGGCAGTTATTTGCTTCCTGTATTCTGATGCAGTGTAGAAACAGAGGACTCTAGTTCTGAGATAATGAAGGTGTTTATAAATAATGAAGAGACCAAAAGGAAGGCAAGAAAGTAATGTGGCCTCAGAAGATCACTAAAGTCCCGCCTTGTGAAAACTCGGACTCAATAGTACTTGTTAGGGGTTAATTTTGTTTTGCTTCCTCAAACTCAGAACTTGCGATTTTGTTGAAGGGACCATCCCTTCTCAGAATAATGTGCCTGAGGGCTGGGGATGTAGCTCAGTGGTTCTGCCGCCTGCCTCACAAGTGCAAGGACCCAAGTTCGATCCCCGGTACCAAAAAAAAAGATTGTTAAAGAATAATGTGCCTGGCTCTCTTCCAGCTCCTTTCATGATTAGCTGTTTACCAGAATGGAGCCAATTTAGCTAAAGGACAGGGTCACCCAAATTTTGAAAAGGAACTACACTTCCTTTGCAAAAATAAGCTTTGCAGGCCTTATCTTCAGGCAGTGATGAGCAAGTAACAGAGCTTCTTGTGACAGAGAGTGAGCACGTGTGGTACAAAGGTCATGGAAGAGAAATGTTTTAGGATGTAGGTGTTGGAGCTCAGGGCCCAAGGGAATTAATGGCCTGAACTAAAGCTGTTCTGCCATTCCTCTAAGAACTCTTAAGACTACTGTAACTGCAGGGCTCTGAATGTAGCTCAGTGGGAGAGCTCTTTCCTAGCATATGCAAGGCCCTGGATTCCATCCCTAGCACCGCAAAAGAAAAAAACCCTGTAACTCCAAAATACATATATTGCCCTTCCGGGAAAACTTTCTTTCCTATAAAAAGGGAAAAGAAGGGCCGGGGATTTAGCTCAGTGGTTTTGACGCCTGCTGTGCAAGCACAAGGACCCAAGTTTGATCCCCGGTACCAAAAAAAAAGAAGGGAAAAGAATACCAACTACCATTTCTCTAGAAGTTATTCTTTTAAGAAACCAGAGTCCTGTGGTATCTGGTCAAGAGAAACTACCATGATTTTTGCCATTAGGAATGCGTTAAGCCTTAGCCTGGGTAACTTAGTGACTTAGAGAGGCTTTGTCTCAAAATAAAAAATAAAAGGAGAGCTGGGGATATAGTTCAGTGTGAAGGCCCTGGTTTCAATTCCCAGTACCACCAAAAACAAAGCACTGGACTGCTTCCCATTTTGCGGTCCTGAATGATCCAAGGGCATATGGGACTTTAGGACATTAATTAACTGAAATCCCCACTGAACAAGATGAGGGTGGGTAGGGGTGGGATGGCCAGATGTCAGTAATTGTCCCTTACCAAGACTTAAACAGAGGCTGAGGCTCACCAGCCATAGAACAGCTTCTTTAGAATTCAGTTCCTTCTATTTCTCCTGCCCAGAAATGGTGAAAGAACATTAGAAGAGAAATGTGAAGGAGGAGGAGCAAAAAGGAAGGAGATAATTTTTTTCACAACAGGATAATATGCCTTAGACAACTGAGTGTTGTCTGTATTTCAGTTTAGATTACTGGAGTTAGTTCAGGGTTTTTCTTTTGTTTTGTTTTTTAGCTAAAAGAATGAGACTGGGGCCAGGCATTGAGCTCAATGTCGCCACGCCTGCCTCACAAGCGCAAGGTCCTAAGTTCGATCCCTCGTACCAAAAAAAAAAAATGAGACCGCAGCAAGACCATCTGAATCTGAACTCATGGCACCAGGAACACCTCAACCCAAGACTCAAGGTGTGCCTTTTGGTATAAACGTCTTTTTAAAACTGGTTTGCTGGGGCCAAGGATTTACCTCAGTGGTTCCGCTGCCTGCCTCGCAAGCACAAGGACCCAAGTTTGATCCCCGGTACCAAAAAGTGATAATAAAATAAAATTGCTTTGATGTTTGTGAGGTCAAAACAGGTGCTCTCTTGGGGGCCACACCTGCCTCGCAAGAGCAAGTCCCTGAGTTCAATCCAGGGTACTGGAAAAAAACAAAACCAAAACCAGGTGCCCGCTTTCTCACTGATGAATTAAAAATTCTGGGCTGAGAATATAGCTTTGTGGTACAGCACTTACTTAGCATGGACAAGGCCCTGGCTTTAATCTCAGCACCAAAATAAATAAATAAAACTTTAGGGCAAGCCTTATTAAATTTTTGAATATGGAACCAGATCTCTCATTGTCAAAAAAAAAAAAAAAAAGGAAGAATTTAATGTCCCAAACCAAACCAGAATATGTAGACCAATCTGTACTCTATGCCTTATTTCACTCTTGTCTTCAGCATTATTGTCATAGTACCAAATACCCACGTAGCCCCTGGTCAGATCCAGAAAGACTTTCCACCTTGACATGGATGGCCTTTTGAATAACCGAGGAGACAAAGCATTGTAATGTGAAACATCCATTTATCACTGAGTGAGTGCTACTCAACCTCTTGGTGCTGTTTCCTCTGGTCCCAGATGTCTGTCCTGGCTCTGGAAAGGAAGAGGCTAGGGGCATCATAAAAGGGAATAAGAAACCCTGAGTTATGAGGTTTGTACTTCTTAATGACTTAGAGAAAACCCACATTTCAGGAGAAAAAGTAGCTCTCGCTGGGCTTCTCTGGAGGAATCCCTTGAAATGGAACAAGAGGGAACATCTACTTGAGAACCTGGCTACTTGAGCCAGTGTCTAACAGAGCCCTTAGACTGTGGGTGAGAGCAGTTCCTGTTTCTAAAATCCCTTGGGGTCCCTCCAGTGAGGCTTGAGGGCCTAGGCTAGAATCCCAGATCAGCCCCATTCTCAGTTGAGATTGACAGAGCTCCTCTTAGAGAATGGATCTTCGTGCCAAAGGCCAGGCTTCCTCATTCTCACCCTTGCCAGCCCTTCCTGCTCTGCTGCTTTTTCAGACTCAGGCAACTCCAGGAGCCTGGGTCCACAGCTGCTGGTGCATTAAGTCAGAGCAGAGCCACAACCACAGAGCACATGAGGGAAGTGGGATTGAGACATAAACATCCTGTCCTTTCTACATCAAGTGGCTCCAGCTCAAGAATCAGTCACTGCGTTATTTATGTGGGACAGAACAGCCAAATGACATGCATAAACTCATTTTCCCTGTAGTCGTGGCTAGGAAGAAAGCATTTTTCTCCTGAGTCCATGGACTTAAAAGGTGTCATTCTTTGGCTTATGTAGTTTTTGGCAGGAGACAGTGACCAGGGATAATTAGGATGAGCAGGAATGTGTTCGACAGAGCCTGGATGGGAGTTCCACTCAGGTGGGGAGGGTGGGTTTGCAGGTAGCTCCATCTCTTTCCACAAACCAGTTTAAGAGACGGAGCAGAATCAGAAGCAAAACACTGGAGCTGCCCCATCCAGTCCCCATTATCTTTTGGGGATTCCATATCCCTGAAAGACCAAGGGCTTCTCCTGCCAGGTCTCACCTTGTATATGATCGCTTCCAGCTAAAGATCTCTTCCAGATTGGATGAGGGAGAGACCTCCCGCTTCTGCAGAATTCCCCAACGGCGGCAGCCTCCCAGGAATGAGGTCCGGTGCCTGCTCAGCCCTTTCATCCTCTCTTCCATTCGGAAGAACTCAGTTAAGGCTCTGAAGGACTCTAAGATGACCTCGTGGCTCCAGGCTGGCAAGGGCTCCTGGCGCAGGAAACCACAGTGGCCTCCATGGCGACTGAGCAGCAGGAAGAAGTAAGGGTTGCTGTGGAAGAGTTCAGTAGGCAGAGTGTGGTCTGGGGGCCCACTCACAGGGTCATCAGCGCTGCAGATGCATAGCACGGGCACAGCTGCCTCATCCACATCCCGGAGCGGGTCATTTCGATCCCAGTAGGTGTCCCAGCTGATGGGAAAACTCTTGGTGTGGCAGAAGAGGGTCTCCTCAAACTCTCGAAGGGAGCGGCTCTTGAACAGCTTGCTGGTATCCACTGTGTCCTCCAGGGCTGTGGCATACCTGGAAGCAGGAGTTGAATGGGGCAGGTAGGAGAGAGAGAAGAATCAGAAAACCAGTGATAGCAGAAGTTTCAGAGGAGCAAGCAGCCCACTAGCCAGATTCTCATCACTGAGGCTTTTTGGTCGTATGGCCCTTTTAAATCTTCCATGCCATGGCCATCAGATTTTGCATAAAATGCAGCTCTCCAGGGAAATGGGAAGATCTGGCCACACAGGCTGACATTCCTTCCCGGGTTATAGTACCATCAGCCCTGTCATACACAGCATTAGCTGTCTAGCCCTAGGGGCAGCATTGATTTGCAGCTTCTGATCTACAGGGACAGCTCCCCTCCTGACTGCAGCTTCTCACTCTTCCCAGGGAACTTGCTAAGAGCTATCACCTCCTGAACCCTTCCCCACTCCCAGAAATCACTGGAGCTACCCTATCCCGTTATGCTAGTTGTTTTTATGTTTTTATGCTAATATGCTGTTCTGGTGATGACAAATGAGTTGTGACCTTGATCGGGTGTACCTCGGGCAGGTATTCCTAGACAGTGTTGTGTGGAAAGCAATCAGGAGTGTAATTAATTTACATGGAGCATTTCCAAATAGGGGAGCAACTGCTGTGGGAAACAGGAGTATCTTTGCTATTCCCAGCTCCCTGAAGAGGGCCTATCACCCTAATAGAGAGGCCAGGATGGGCAGCTCAGTCCTTTGGGTGGGATAATCTAGCCAGCCTCAGCCAGATGAATTTAATATATGTCACTTGTAGATACTGAAAGACAGCTCCCCCAAGTTTTTAACCACAAAATTCCATGGGAATGGCAGTTTCTAAAGGCACAAGTTTCCTCTCCACTTCTTCTTTTTTTTTTTTTTTTTTGGTACCAGGGATCGAACTCGGTCCTTGTGCTTGCGAGACAGGCGGAGGAACCACTGAGCTAAATCCCTGGCCCTTCCTCTCCACTTCTAGTTGGTGCTCAGATCCGAACTGGTGGTGGTCATTTTGGGGTGGAAACTGTGACAATTAAGCTGGATGAGAGCACCTTGTCCCTGGACTGTGCCAGCCCTCTGGGTTGCCATGGCAGAGCTTCAGGTTGTTGTTCAGCTCAGGATTTGACCTTCTCAAAATAGGAAGCAAACTGGCGCAAGGAAAAAGCATCACAATTGCCACCAATTATTGCGCACCTATCCAAGGCCAGCCCTTCACCTTCATTTTTCATTTAATGATCAGAACCAGTTTGGGGAGGTGGCTATTATTAATTCTATTTAACTGAAGGAGAAAGTGAGTCTTAAAGGGGTTGGCTAACTACTGGAAATTCAGCAGTTACTTAGACCCAAGCAGGTCTAAGCTCATACCCCAGGTCTTCCTCCTGCCTCATCCTCTATTCATAATGCATTTGACTTCATCCTGCCATCTCAGTTGGGGTGTTACTCAGGACTTCTCAGTGGGAAAGTCTTACTTGTCACCCTGGCAGTAAAATGTTCTCCTTCTGGAGATTAAAATAAAAATATGCTTAAATATTTTTAAAATATTAAGTTAAATGTTGAATACATGTGCAGGATATTTGCCAGGTCAAAAGAATTTTTAATAAGTCAAATGCTGCCCTATTTCCGATCCCTGTCATTTCCTGGCTCTGAGATTGTAAGTAAATATTCTAGACAGATAATGGACTGCAATTGCTTCCACAGTCCTCTTTGCTGACCTGCTGAGCTACAGACTAAGTGGTAAATGTCAGGTGACACCTCTGCTGTTGGCAGGCCAGGCTCTCAGGTTGCTAGGAAACCTGAGGACAAGATGGAGCCCCGGGGTGGGAATCCCTCTAGCACAGTGATGCTGGCTGAAGCCATGAGGCTACTGTGGCTTTGAAACTTGTTTTCTTGGTTCTGACTAGTATATGAGGTTTGAAAAGCTTTGCAAAACGTGTGAGAACTGCCCAAACTGGCCCACACCTGTTTGTTTTCATAGCAGGCAGGCAGGGCTGTTTTCCAGGCCAGTCTGAGGACTCCCTGCCCATCTTGGGCCTCAGTTACCCACCTGCTGAGGGCGATCTTCTGGTACAGCAGAAAGCCTCGCTCATAAGGCCAAGGCAGGCCGGCCTCAAACCACTCGCGGCAGCGCAGCACGGGCGAGATGCAGGCGGCACCCGTCATGTAACTGGAGGAGCCGCATTCGCCCAGGTAGGACAGCAGCAGCGCGGAGCCTGAGCCCTCGCTCACGGCGAAGAGCGGGGCCGCAGGGTGTCGGAAGCGAATGTAGGTGACCGCCTCTTTAAGGTCCGACGGGTCCCCAAAAGGCTGCAGCCGAGGGCTGACCAGAGGGCAGCCGTGGTGGCCACGGCGGTGGAAGATGACCGGGTAGTAGCCGCGCTCCAGGGCGAGCAAGCAAAGGCCGAGAACGTTGCGGGTGAGGCGCCCCCATGCGTTGGGGATCACCAGCAGCACCGCCGGGAGGCCCCCAGCGCTGGTGACCCGGCGACCCCGGGCGCAAGGTCCTACGACCCAGTCCAGGGCCACCAGCCCATCGTCTGCCAACTGCAAGTACTCCCGGGCCAGCTCAGGCCCCGGCGCGACGGGAAGGACGAAGTGGCAGAGGGTCTGCAGGTGGGGCCCGGAGAGCCAGGGCCGAGGTCCAGGCTCCAGCGCCGCCGAGCGTCGAAGGGCGCGCAGCAGGCACTGGGCCAGCGCCGACGGCTTACAGAGGAGGCTGCAACCGCCGGGCAGCGACTCACGCCGGTCGCTGAACTGATCCTCGGGGCCTCCCCCGTCCACCTCGTCGTTCTGGATCAGGGCTCCGGGCTGGGTCCTCGCTCCGACTGTGCGCACGAGTCTGGGGACGAGCAGGAGGAGCAAGGCGAGGGCGCCCAGGAACAGCGCGAGGGCGGCGCCCCACAGCGGCATGGCTCTGCCCAGAGACCCCGGCGAGCTTCGGGCGGCGGCTCCAGACCCCCTCGGCGAGCTCCCCGCTCAGCTCGCAGCTCCGCCCGGCCACGGCTGCCGCCCAGGGCCCTCCGCGCGGGCGGGCGGGCGCGCTCGGGATTGGTCACGGGCCCACAGAGGCAGCCAGTTCGGGTCGAGCTCCCCTCGCCCGCCCCCTACTCCCGCCCGCAGCCCTTTGTACAGTGATTGCGACAAGCAGGAGCAGCGGGTGAAAGAGGCCACCGAGAGGGAGCGAGGACGTGCAGGCGAACCGAGAAAGAGTGGGAGACTGAGAGGAGTTTAGCAGCGGAGAAGTGGGGTGACCCACAGACGAATTTAGGGACCTCGGGGAGAGCATCAGAGTCCCCGGGCTCCGCCCTATAAAATCTGGGGCTGGCAAGAGTGGCCGTGGTTCGCTGCGCTCTCAGGGACCGCTATTGAGAAGTGAATAACGCGCAGCCCCGGGCGCTCGTCCCAGGGATCCCAGCTACAGCTGCAGCCAGGCCTGCCGCCCGCCCTCTTCGCGCCTCCGCCAGGCTTCGCCGCGCTCTTTGACCTCGGAGTTTGTCTCAGAGGCCCGCTGGGCCTCGAAGCTGCTCAGTGACGCGGCGGGGCTGGGGGCAGCACCTGTCCCGGAGCGCAAGGTTCGGTCGTCGCGCTCTTGGCTGCGCGTTTGCCGCTAAAAGCTGATCCTTCCCATGCAGGCATCGGGGCGCTCCTGAAGACGCACCCACCCCGTCCCAGCCCAGGAGGAGGGAGGCTCCCCAAGAGCGTGGCCTCAAGTACATCAAGTCCTCAACAGAAAGGGGTTCCTCAGAAGCAGCCTCAGGTTGAGTAAGGTGAAGGAGAGGACGAGGGGACCTGTACCCCACGATCAGGCCATGGCAGGGGTAGAGCGGCTTCCTCTGTCAGCTCAACATCTGGTAATTACTGGAGCGGGTGGGGCACGGAGCCCTTGTAAGCCAGGGGCATGGGAGAGGGGGCTGAAATAACACGTGCTTGCTGTTTTGAAGTTTTGGTCTGGGTATCTCAACTCTCACTCTCCACCTTCGTTTCCGTCTTTCCCCCCAAATCCTGAAGAGGGCACAGAGCTGCCGCCTGCTGCCCAAGAGGCCAGGCAGGGCTCTCAGCTGGGGGCGAGGCCTGCTTACCCCCACCCACCCACC